GAAAGGTATAAATTTATATGATATGAGTTATATTTTAAGAATTTTAGGTTAATTTCTATTTAACGTAAAATAATGATAATACTAACTAATTCTAAAAATATTGAAGTTTTGGAAATATTTCTTATAGTATGCAATATTTTTAAAGACTACACTTCATCAAGTAATATTAAGTACTCCTTGAGCATAAATAAATTAGTAAACGTTCATCAAAATTATAATATAAAAAAATAAAATCATCAATCAGATCTTCCAACTAGTTTATACTATTCAAGCATTTAGAGGAGGTTAACAAGTATGATGCCATAAATATTTGTAATAAAAAAAAGAATACATATATAGCTATAGAGGAAACCCATGAGGACATGGAGTATAGGGTAAAGTAAAGAAGCCCTTGTTAATAGTGCACTTGTAAAAAGAAAAAGGATGAGCTGACTATTGGAATGATAACAAGGGGAATCATCATTGGGATATAATTCTAATTAAAGAATTGATTATAACTCATAAACATGATGTCTTAATCATTCTAATCCTGAATCAATGGTTCTGAGACTACTAAGATTATTTAAAATATGGGTAACTAATAATTCATTCCATTTGAAGTTTTAAGAATCTAAGGACGTATTTAGGTCTTGTGGAAACATATATAGGGAGACTTTGCTGGTATTGATCATCTTCTTGAGTCTAAATAATTCATTCATTTAAAAATTTTAATTAGAAACATAATTAACTTCTTCTTTATGGTTGTGTATACGAGTCCTAATATTACTCATCAATGCCATTTTTGGTTGTAGCTCCAATCCATGACTAGTCAAGTGAAATGGGGCTTGGTTGATTACATGTGAGTTTATTGATCTCATGTTAATCAAGGATTATAAGCGAAACTTAGGAGCATATATAAAAAGAATTAATTAATGCAATTGATTGGGGTTTTAACTTCCAGGGTAATTAGGAATCCCAGTTCAATTGAGTCGTTTATAGGCATTAAAGTGCACATTCTTTTTGCACCTCCATAATTACTAACAATAGAGGAACTACGTTTTATAGCATTCGTACGAGGATAGATCACAGGCCACTAACTTGGCACTTACTATGCATGCGGTTCTACGTGCATGCTTAGGTTTTAATTGGATTGAAAAAGAAAAGGTTTGATATGATCAAGCATTTAATTGAATTAAATGTTACTTGAATAAGAAGTTTCAAATTCCACCACATCTGCTCTATAACATGGGTATACTTACAAATTAGTTATTGTAATTCGTAAATCCTAACACTTTATCCTCACGATCATCTGCAGCAACCCGCTTCATCTTTCTTCTTTTCCATGAAACATTATTAACTTCAACCAGACTTTGTTTTCCCTTTTCTCAATCTTTTTCTCTGCATTCAAACAAGTAATGTATAGGAGGGGAGGGAGGGAGAGAGAAAGAGAGAAACACTGCAATTATATCGATACTGCAGATGGAGACAGTAGGAGGAGGACTTCGTGGTTGCGGCAGTTTTGAGTTCCTAATAGGGCCTCATACTTGAATTTCAAATAATCAAATTCTTAATCTTTGACCTTTTACAGGGTGTTCGCTGCTTTTGAGCTGTACATATGTTGAGTTAGTGCACAAATTTCCAAAGCTTAATTATGATGATCTTGATTATAAAGAATTAATTATAATTAAACGTAAATAAATAAAAAAAATAATCAACTCAGCCCGCCAGACGCGTGAGCTGGTGGGAAGGGAAGAGGAGCCGGCCGTTGATTGAAAATGGTTGTTGCAGTTGGACTTTGGGAGGAGTGCCACACATGGTGATTAAATGTGTAAAAGATGATGATTAAGTAGGATAGGAGCTTACACACACACTCTATCTCTCTTCCCCCTTCCCATGCATTACTTGTTTGGATAGAGAGAAAAAAAAAATAAGAAAAAGAGAAGAAAATTCTAGTTGAAATTAGTCATGTTTTCATGGGGAAAAAGAAAGATGAAGTGGGTTGCTGAAGATGATCGGGAGGATGAAATGTTGGGATTTATTTTACTATATTTTTCATTTTGGGAGAAGGGAAATAAGAGAAAAAGTTGGGAGAAAAAAAGAAAATGATCTTAATTTTTTTTTTAATTTTAAAATACTTTAAATATTAATTAAAATTTAATTTTTGTATCACACGAGATAAATAATACTATATTTTCAAACTGGTGATAATTATTGAATTAACGAGAGTAATTTAAATATTTTTTAAGAATATAAAAATTAATTTGATATAAAATTTATAAAAGAATCTAATTGAACAAAAAAAAAAAAAGACCACCTCAGTGATCAGATTTTCTATCTCCAGGGAAAAAAATTACGTAGTTATCGAAATATTTTTAAATATATAAAATATTAGAAAATCATATATGTATTTTTTTTTTAAAAAAAAGAAAAGACAGAAATTCTATGATACTATATAAAAATATAAATATATTTTAAAAATTTACTTTACAGAAACAAAATTATTATAATATTTAGTTTCTTAATACTATTAGTTTGATGACTGGAGATGACTTTATCTATCAATTCAATTTAATCTTTGAACTTTGTCCCATTTTTTTTTTTTTAATTTTAATCTTAAATAAATCTTAAACGAGTTCCATCTCCTTCTACTTCTACTTTGAGGCCGAGGCCGAGGCCAAGGCCAACGAAGTTAATCCGCCATGCATATTGCTAAACGAGTTGGATAACAATTTGCAAATACAGTAAAAAACGATGGACAAGAAATTGAAGATTATGAACCAAAAAATTCGTTGTTGAAGAAAGAAACTGAAATAATTTTATTACTTACACATACAACTATCATATTATATACCCTAATTTTATTTCCATTGTGAAATTTTTAACATAAAAATAATACAAATTCTTCATGTTTTAATACTATTTGATTTTCCATATCTGGAGAGTAAATAATAATAAAATAAGTTTTGATAATTTAACCAAAATTCTAATATATTATTAAAAATAATTGCCTCATCCGAGGCTGTCGGTCTGACCTAACGAGTTCGTTTGACCTTCACAACGTGGTTCAACTTTAAACCCCACAGTCCGCATCCATCTCAAACAAAAAAACCCTAATCATATCTAATAAAACCAAAACTACTTTTTGCTCAAGCAAACTTTTAATTCCAGAACTAGAGCGTTTCTTGTATAGCAATCTTCTGTGTGAGAGAACAAGGAAACGTTGAATTCAAAGACAAACCTAACTAGGCTACATGCTTAAAGAGGAAGTTTAAGAAACTGATTCCTCTTGATGAGGATTATTTGCTGGATGATCCCTCACCGTCCATTTCATCTATATCCCTGTATCTTCGTATAGACCTGTTTGATATACTAACATATGAAAATCAGATTGCAATCTACCACTGTACACTAATTCAATCCAACCACACCAGATCATCTCCACCGCCTGCTTTCTGGTTAGAACGGTTCTTGGATCCATCTTCAGCCATCATTTGATCTGAGTTGCTAGATGGGTTAATCCTGCATAACAACAGAAGAAAGAAATCCCACTTCTATAAGACAAGCAAAATCAAAATCAAAATCAACATACACCCATCAAACAAGAAACACAAATGACTCAATTGATCATAGAGATTTTATGATGATAATATTGATTACTTAATTTCACTAAAGGGTAACTTTGACCAGGAAAATTTATGCAAACAGACAAAATATGAAGGCAAGAAACCCTAATCACTCCCATTGATCAGAGAGATTTTACGATAATAATATTCATCAATCAATTTCATATCAAGGGTAACAACTTTGACCTGGAGAATTCATGATCAAGCAAAGAATATGACAGCAATACTAAACCAATTTCCATATAAATGGGTGAAAATGAGACTTCAAAGGAGACAAGAACAACAAATCATGGACTAGAGAGAGAGAGAGAGAGAGAGAGAGAGAGAGAGAGAGAGAGAGAGAGAGAGAGAGAGAGAGTACAGAGCATCAACCGGACCAGAGACCATGCAACAGACCCGGATCGAATTCTTATCTTTTGTCATATAATTTAGCTGGACTAGGCAGAAATATGTATGAAGCAGTCAGCTCAATTACCATACCAGAATTTGACATTTGTGATAGAACTTTTTCAAGTGTCTTCTCCTCTTCAATAATTTTAGGAGCATATATATTACATGCTAGATTTCATTAACGAAAAGCTTCAAATCAAAAAACAAAAGGGGCTAATATAAGATTCTGTAAGCACCTTATTCCTGAAAGATTTAATGACAGCAATCAATAGCTTATCTCCTGCTATTTTTCTCACTCGTTGTATCATCTCTTGCCGTGATATTTTCTTTTCCTGGACAACAAAAAGATTGAATGTTGTATCAGCTTAAATCACAGAGGAAGAAGATGAACAGAACAACTTAAAATCCGAAACAATTCAAGCATTACTTACCTGGTGATCCCTATGGTACTTGGAGATCAACCGCATTGAAGATTGAGGAAGGTACTTGGACAGCGCAGAAATTAGAGCTGGAAACGGCATCCATGGCGAAGTGGGCTTCTTCGAGGAATCTGGAATCCTTATAAAACCTGTCAAGCGAGGAGGAGCTTTGAAGCTTATAATGAACTCTGGCAAGATGTGAGTGTTCATGTGGGTGCTCCAGATTATATACTTTTTGGGCGAAGAAAAGTTGTCCACCCCAGAATCGAAATCCTCAGAACTTGGATGAGACTGATCAGAGCCAGGACGCACCACCTCTGGTTTGCCCAATACAACACGACAAAGCAACAAATGATGTACTCCATGTTCATCAACAATCGAGTTCCTCAAACTACAAAACGCAGCACGATAACAATTACGCATCCATGAAAAAGATTAGTATACATATATAAATATATGTTAAAAGTAGATGAATACCAGTCCATAGGAGAGTCATCTGGAGAGAAATAAATGCCACGACCATATAATCCATTGTTCTTCAGCTGTGCAGGGAGACCAAAACCGTGTTCTATGATGCTGCAAATCTCATCTCTATCAGTACCATACCAGGCGTACTTGACATTTGCATCGCCGCCATGTTTTCTCTGCGTTGCCATGGAGAAAATCTGAAATGTCTGCAGCCTGGCTTTCCCCGTTAAAGTGCTGAATCCATTTCTATGGATTGACAAGACCTTGGTTTGCGAGCCAAGCAAACCCAGACACAAGAGAAATCTTCGCTTAATGAGATCATGAATCCTGTCCCCTTCCAGCAATCTAATCAGCCCGTTGCTAAGGGTCGGGGAATCATCACAACTAGGACCAGAAACGCCACTTTCACAATCGGAAGCTAGTGATTCTTGATCGCGGGCTGCGTCCAAAATTGAATCAGAACTACCCGTTTGCTCAGATTGTTGATCTGATGCGTGTCTCGCGAAATTGTTCGTATCGTCGAGTCCTCCCATAAAACGAAAAGTCTGTTCGTGACACCCCATGACGGAAAAATCTATAAAGTTGCTAAAAAATTTGAAGGAATTGTTTACAAAAGTTCAAGAGGGATTAAATTGAATAATTTGATTCAACAAAAGATGAAGATTAATTATAGACAGAGAGGGGAATAACTGAAGGAAACCAAGAGCAAATTTCGAATCACTACCAAAATCAACAAGGAAAAACCAAGGAGCTAAGAAGGAAGAGCCCGAAAACTAAGATATATTTGCAAGAAACGCAACCTGAGATGAAAGCAAAATAAACATCTAGGCAGCACGAGAGAGTTCCAGAAAAAGAAGGTAGATAGAAAAACAAATTCGATCAAAGTGAAAACCCACAAAAAGTGAGAAAACCAGAGATGAGAAATAACAAGAAGGAAGAAGAAAGAAAACCCAGAAAGGAAAAACAAGCGGAGACTATGAAAGAGCGAGGAGTCGGAAAGAAGATTTACTTGTGTATGTAGTTTTGTGATTTATATAGCAAAGGTGTGCAAAATTTGAAAAAGTAAACGGTTACTTGGAGAAGAGGAAGAAGAAAGAGAAGGAACACTTGGTATTTAAATGCATACATGTGGGTGTGGGTGTGGGTGTTTTACGAGCGTGTGGCGGTGCGGCGCTAATAGTTTTAGGGCACGTCGTTTTAGCCCAAACGGGAAAGCGGTTAAGAACCAGAGCTCGCGGAATTTTTACCCTTGAGAAAAGTTAAACGACTGTCCTACCCTTGTGCAGATGGTAAAATTACTATTATAGCAGTTATGTGACGTCGTTTTCGAAATTACGGTTTTACCTTTAAGAAAAATAAACAACCGTCCGACCTTTTTGCATACGATAAAACTAGGATTTTACCCTTTTGAGAAAAACGTGGGTTGTGGAGTTTCTCTCACTTCAAAGCCGGTGGTTTGGTATATTTATAAAAATACAAGCTTTTTGTATTGCAAGTATGGAACGGTGTGCTGCGAAATTAACCAAATCCACATTGGTTAAATAAATTGTATTTATTATTATTATTATTATTATTTTATTATCATGTGAGAGCTGACATTTTTTTTTTTGTGGAAAGATAATAAATTTACTAATTATCTAATGAAAAAATAGTTTGTATATATTATATTAATCAATTCATATTAATATTAGATTGACTCTTGGTGTGGTTTTTTAAATTTATTTTAATAAAATTATTAGCTTTACTAATAGAAATAGCCCATAGATTTTTATTTAATTTTTAAGAAACCTGTGGTTATTTTATTATTTTTTCCTATATATATTTAAATTTCTTATTTTTTAACTGGGTATATTCTTTTTTGTTGGACACTTTTTTTTTTGTTTAAATTTCTAACTTTTATTATAAAATAGCAAACAATTTAGTTTAAAAGATTTTTTTATGATTACTTTATTTATATTAACGGTAATCCTATTCTTTTGGCTCATTAGGATTTAGATGTTCTCGTATTTAATCAGTATTTTTATATATAAAAAAAAAAACTAATGGTACTCCAATAATTTTTTAAGAGATATTTTTAATAATTTTAATATTCAAAAACTAACACTATAACTACTAACGTCTTGTGATTCTAATTACTCAAGTTTATTTTAAAAAGAAAAATGTTATATTTTCTTGTGCATCCACTAAACTAGTAATTAGCCATTTAGAGTTAGTTATAAAGAAGATAGAAAGGTTTTCTCCACTAGTTGAACAATCTAATTCAAAATGGAGATAAGGCTTGGCGAGAATGAGTTACAATAGGGGATTTAATGGGTCCATAACTAATAGATTTATCATAGCACGCAAGTGGAATCTCAATTTTTTATCTTGAATCTAAAAAACAAATAAAAACTAATGACTTTCTCCTCTATAATCAACATCAAGGCTGAAGTGAAGCTATACATAACATTTAAACTGATCAGGTTCAATAAAGACTCAATCTTAGTTTTTATAAGATCAAGATTTGATTGATACGAGTTAGAATAATATGTCAAAGACTATTTAAGGCAAGTTGCTTTTGTTCCCAGATGCATAAAACACCAAAAATTAATGTAAATGGAGATGGCAAGCCTCTCACTCTTTTTTATAGGTAAGAAATTGCATCATCTTTGGGTTAGGTCAATATTACTTTTAAAAGGGATGCAAACTTATCTTTTATCAACTCTATTTGGTAGGGAGAGAGATTTTTAATTATCAATGACGTTAAACAAATTTTTAATTTTTATGTTCAGTTTCTTTTGCTTAAGTTCCTAAATGTTGTGATTAGTTTGCATATGCTTTAACCATGAAGATTATCATATGTTCCTAATCGTTTTATCTATATTAATAAAACTCTTATTTCTTGACCCTTCTCCTTCATAAGATTATTCTTATGTACAATTTATATACTAATAGTCTTCTTCCAAGAAAAAAAGTAAAAAGATCAAATGATATTCATATATATTTTTATTTTATTTCAATTTTGCAAATTTAACTCATGTGCTAATGCTATTAGAACAATTGCTTTCTTTTTTTATTTAGAATAAATTCAAGTGAACTTTATCTATAAAATATATATTAAATAAATTCAAGGAGCTCAGATCGAAGAAAGAATGACATGTGACTTATGGAGATAACAACAAAGGCAAAATTATTGGAATCAACAAAATAGGTAACAATTATACCTTCTTTGAAAATGTGTTGCTTGTTGAAGGTCTTAAACATAGTTTACTATGTATTAATATATTATGATAAGAGTCATATAGTTGTTTTTGAATCTAAATATTGCTCTGTCATTGATATTAAAGACAATTTAACTAAATTTGTTGGTCATAGGCATAACAATGTGTATGTGATTTGCCTTCTTCACATGACTCTTTTTTAGTTGCTTTAATTTGTCCATTGCTAAACAAGACATTCTATGAGCTCTGAAAAAGAAAAAATCAAATATTGGTTATTTTTATACTTTTTGGTACAAGACTTACAAATTAAATTACAACAAAGACAACAATAGAAATTTTAATGCTAAATCCAAATAAGGAATTTTTATAGGGTACTCAAATTCTAGTTAAGCCTATAAAGTCTTTAACAAAAAAACTCTAGGATTTGAAGAATCCATGTATACTATCCTTGATAAATCTATTCCTCATCTTATTAAGGAAAATGATGAAGATGAAAAGATAGGCATAATGAACTCAATAAAATATTAAACATTGATAAGTCACCTATTGATAATATAAACAATAATGAGAAAGAAACATATGACGTATTACGTAGCCTAAACCAAGAATAAGAAACATAAGCGGCCGCCCAATATGCAAAGGTCGATCTTGAAGAACTCATTATAGGTGATACATTAAATGGAGTGACCACTAAAAGGTGTCCTAAAGAATATATGTCAATTTATTACCTTTTTATCCCAAATAAAGCCTAAATTTTTGAATAAGTCAAGAAAGATGAAAATTAAATAAATGCCATGTCAGAAGAAATACGATGTGAAACTTAGTGCCTCGATCGAATGATAGAACCATTATTGACACTAAATGAGTATTTAGGGATAAAATGGACGAAAATGAGATAATAACTAGAAATAAAGCTAGACTAGTGACAAAAGGATACAACAAGAGGAAGAACTTGATTTTGATGAGACCTTTGCTTTTATAGCTAGAATAGAAGCTATTAGGATTGTATTACCTTTTGCATGCATTGAAAGGTTTCAACCTCTTTTCAATATATGTAAATGGTGATTTCCTAAATGGTTTTTCATAGAAGAGGAGATATTTATAGAATAACCAGATGGTTTCATAGATCTACACTTTCCAACTCATGTCTACAAACTCAATAAGGCCTTGTATAGTATGAAACAAGTTATAAGAACTTGGTATGAATGCCTTAGTAAATTCCTCATAGAAAATAGTCCATAAGAGGAATAAATGGCAACACTTTATTCATAAAGATGAAAAAAAAAGATGTTTTATTATTCAAATTTATGTAGATGACATAATCTTATGTGCAACTAATTAAAACATGTGCAGAAATTTATTAAAAAACATGCAAGTTGAATTTAAAATGAACATGATGGGAGAATTAAATTATTTTTTAGGTCTACAAATTAAATAATCAAAAGAATGAATCTTCATAAATGAAAGCAAAGTTATTAAAGATCTCTTAAAGAAGTATGACATGGAAAATATAAAACAAATTTCAACTCCCATGAGCACATCCACAACACTTTATAAAGATAAAAATGAGAAATCAATTGATCACAAACTTTCAGGGATGTAGAAGGATCTCTCTTTTACCTCACGACAAATAGACCTGATATCACATATAGTTTGTACATATACGATCACTTCCAAGTTAATCCAAAAAGGTAATACTTATATACCTTCAGAAAGATATTCAAGTACTTAAAAGACACACTATTCATTCGGCTTTAGTATTCACAAAGTTATTTAGAGTTGAATAGCTATTTAGATACCGATTTTAGAGCTGTAAAATTGATAGAAAAGGTATTAATGGAACATGTTAATTCTTGGTAACATGTTTGTCTCTTTGTTTTCCAAAAAATAAAATTTGGTTGCCTTGTCAATCACGAAAGTTGAATATATTGCTGCCAGGAATTGTGGTGCTCAAGTCCTATGGATGAGACAACAATTTGTTGATTTTGGAATTAAAGTGGAAAGTGTTTGTATAAAGAAAATTAGTATTATTGCTTTTAAATTGAGCAAAAACTCCATATAATAATCAAGAACTAAATACATTTAAATAAGACATCATTTTATAAGAGATCATATTCAAAATAGAGATGTACAACTTGAATTTATCCTTATGGAGTTTCAACTTATCGATACATTCATGAAGTCTTGAGTGCGAAGAAATTTTTCATGATTAGAGTAGAACTAAGTATATTTGAGCTAAATGAGCGATGTAATACACTTAGTGATACCTAGAATAAAACCAAAAAATGCCCTAAAACTATGATTTATTTTAGATAAAATATGTTTTGCTCTAATGTGAATGATTTCTACAATCACATCAAATTATTTATAAGAATGCTTGTATGTGTGTTATTCGTGTATGTGTGTGCTAAAAGAAGTGATTGTTCAAATCACATTAACATTTATACTAAAAATTGCAATGTGATTGTAAGTGTCATCACTTAAATCACATAAAGCAATATGGTGATTGTTGGTTCAAGCGAGCAAAATGTTAAAATAAGTGATTGATAGAATCACACAAGCGCCTTAGAACTTTTAGGTTACATTTATTGTGCCAAAAATTATTCCTAAGTGGAGAGGCAATTATGTAATTCGAACTTTTTAAGAGCTTAAAATTCGAAATCCAAAAACCTCTCCTTCCATGCATGTCAATAGTTCCGGACTTTATTTTTACTCCTCGTTTTTTTCTTTGTGTCCTCTTACCCCTTCATTCTCAAAATGATGCGTTAATTTCCCATCTCCTTTAACCACCACTTCAGCTCTTTCATAACTCCTCACTCTTTCTTTTTTATACATTCACAAAACCACTCACCCAACTTTCTTAACCCTTTTACTCAAGTCTCATCCTTTAATTCCCGCTTTCTTAACTCTCGCTGAAGCACCATGGGTCGAAGAATGGA